TCTTAGAGTCCCGAGGGCCCCAACCCGGAAGTCTGCATCTCCCTCCCTACCTGACTCAGTTTAACTGTCAAGAATTTCATGGATTGATGCCATGTTTTTGTTTGGCCACCGCTTACTCTTTTCCAACCTGCACCTATATCAGCTAGTAATGCCCATCGGGGGAGGCGATGGTTAGGCATGCGCAGTACGTGACCTAGCCATCTCAATCTATGTAACTTCATAGCCTCTTCGATTGATTTTCCCTCTTTGCCCAACACTCTACGCCTAACGTCAACATTACTTACCTTATTATACCACCTAACGTGAGAAAGAGATCGTAGACATCTATGATGAAAAATAGTCAACCTTTTCATGTCTTCAACTCGTATTGGCCATGTTTCAGAGCCATAGAGAAGGATGGAGCGAATTGCTGAGCAGTATACACGTCCCTTGGTTGATATCCGGATGTCACGCCTACGCCAGAGATGGCATAAGTCAGGGAACGCAGGTCGAGCTTTTTTGATTCGTGCTGAGATTTCATCGCCAACCAGTCCGTTGGTGCTGATACAACTTCCCAAATAGGTGAAGTGGTCAACATGTTCTATCACTTCACTCCCTATCACTAAGCTAGGAGTTGACGTAGTCCAGTCCTGTAGAAACATCTTACATTTCACAGGGGCGAATCGCATGCCAAACATACGAAGATTGCTTCTCAAGGTGTTCAGAAGAGTCTGCATTTTGTCAGCATCCTCCCCTAACAGCACTATGTCATCTGCATATTCTAAGTCCACAAGATTACTCCCTGGTAACAAGTCGATTCCTAAGTCGTTAAGTTCAGTTAAGGATACTTCCATTAGCATATCTATGATGAAGTTAAACAGAAATGGAGAAAGTGGACTACGCTAAGTAAAATCCTGGGGATCTTAAACACCGCCCTTCCACCAGTTGAATTCAAAAATGATGCGCATAGATCAATCAGCCACAGATGGAACTCTATAAACATTATTTACATCAAGATAAAATGGAATAGATAACTGACGAACTTTCACAGTTTTGTCTCAATTAGCAGAAAAAGATATCCCATCGCATCTCTTCGACGAGAATCTAGTAATCCACGCTAAATGTCAGCATTATTCACTTATGATTCCATCATGTTTGTGAAATGCTGCGATGACAAATACTGTCAAAAAATCTGTGAATTATTCTGCATCCATCATCCGCAACTACTGAATAGAAATGTGAATTGCTGCACGTAGTTGACCCTAAATATCCAAGTGATGTGATAATTGAGACAATATTACTTTAGAAACTCACTAATGAACTTTGTTAAGTATGCGGACGATCTAACTATTTCAATGTTTGTTAACTCCCAGCTAAACTACAGTAAGATGAATAGCCTTCTATCAGGAGTTAGCAAATGGTCTTCGTCAAATGGCCTTAAACTGAATCCTTCTAAGTACCAGACTGTTAATTTCAGTTTCCGATGTAAAAGTAGGTTAAATGAAGCTGTTGGTTCCTATGACCGTTGCAAAATTGATGATACTGATATAGAAACCAAGTCTGAAGTTAAGTATCTTGGATTAATTCTCTTTTCTGACCTATCCTGGTCTTCCCATGTCTTAGCGATTTCTAAAAGAATATTTCGTCTGACTTTTTACATATTAAGAAGTTAAGGCACTCAGGCATAACCCAACCACTCCTCTTACAGTTTGTCAACTCGTGCATCTTACCTATTCTTCTTTACTGTTCACCACTGCTTATTCTTTCCTGGATTGCTTAAAAAAGACTATGTCATACTTCGTAGAACTCTGAAGACTGTCAGTAGGGCGAGTGGTATCCAATTGGGCCATATCGTTGACATTGTCATTGATAGGCACTTGATGTCATGCAATAAATTTGCTAAAAGAATTTTGTCAGGCTGTGAGCTTCCACTTAACCTGCAACTCCAACCTTATGTCTCCTCAGGTAAAACAAGAAGTCTTTTCAGAAGACTTTATGCACGTACGTCTAAGTATAAAAATTCCACTATACCATATTTGGCACGTACTTTATGTGATGAAAACAGTGTCAGGCATGAAGTAATTAACCTTCTTTGCACCACTTAATAAACCATTTCCTCCACCCTAACAACATCAAACTTTATTGTTATTGTACTTCTTATATTTATAATCCTCTCGATTTTTTGTTTTTTTTCATAAGTGTGAATCATCACTAGTAAGTACTCATGAAGTCTGTAGCATTGAGGGGACTATAAATTGAAACAAAATCTAATGCAAAATACCTCGGTCTAGTTCTATCTTCCGACCTTACTTGAACATCGCATATCCTAACGATTTCTAAGAAAGTGTTCTGTCTAACCTACTACATTAAGAAACTTAGACAATCTGGAATCACCCAACCTCTACTTTCACAATTTGTCAACTCTTGTATCTTACTTATTCTACTTTACTGCTCCCCGTTAGTCTTTCCTGGGCTACTGAAAAAGGACTATACCATCCTGAGACGGATGTTGAAGGTAGTTATTAGGACTAGTGGTGTAAAACTCAGTCAGCTCGTCAATACATTAGTTGAAAGGCATCTGAATACATGGTCTCCGACCCCCAACACCCCCTCTATTCCCAACTCTCGCCTTGTATCTCATCAAGTAAAACCAGAAATCAGTATAAAATAATCTATGCTCATACAACCAAGTACAGGAACTCAACGATACCATATTTGGCCCGTGTTATAAGTGACAGAGACAATGTTAAGCGTGAAACCTGTGACTTGCTTTGTTATTAACAACATAATTTTAGGCTCTTTTATTTCTCTCTTATTTTGTATTCTATTGTGAACTCCTTCTTAAACATACTTAGCTACCTAAATTATTAACATTGGCTTACTTCTTGTACTGTACTGTATTCCTTCTTTTGTGTATCTACTGGTTCCGACTATATTAGCACTATGAGTATTACAAAATTGTCCTGTCATTAACCATCATGTAATCATTAGTTTTGTGGTTGTTGTTTTTTTTTGTTCGGCAATATTAACTGACAATCTTGGTTGTGAACGCCAATATCACCATCTTAAAATTTTGTATTATGCAGGATTACTCACACTACCACCACAAACACCGCATTAGAGCTGTCAATAAAAAACCCTGAAATGTTATTTTATGACTGTTTAGTGTTGTTCAATCAAATTAACTGTTCATCTTGGCGATAAACATTCTTAAATATCATTTCATAACTTCTTGTACGACTATAGCTTTACTGTCACCATGTATAATCACATCATAGCTTCCACTACCCAATACTGAGATATTATTATGTGCTGTTTATTTTCCTTTCTACTTCTTTTTTTAAAATTATTTCGTGTTTGTTTTTTTGCTGTTGTTGTCTTTATATTTATTTTTTTCTTTTTGAAAATACTCCTTTTAAACGTTGGATAAAATTAGATGCAAATATTGTAGATATGTGCTAAAAATTCCACACTGTACCACTAGTACTGTTTCTGGAATAAAGCAAATTATTATTATTATCACTTCAGCTGTGTTATAACTGTCAATTTTGTATTTCCCCTCACCATACTATATCAACAGAACATTAGATTCAATAATCTATAACATGCTAAAATTTCCAAACTCAATCGACAATACTGTTTGAAACAAACTCACTGTTATGATTATTATTATATTTAATATTCTCAATTCGTGCTTCGAATATTGACTTTATATCGTAAATGTGGACAAATTCCTCTGGTTAATTTTGTTTTAATTTTTAATTTTATTTATATTTTGAGTAAATCAGATGAAATATTGTGACAATTGCTGAGAATTCCATTCTGTATTATAAGTACTGTTTTTGGAATAAAGTAGATTATTATTAGATGCTATTTGTTGACAAAAGCATTCACATAATTGTTATACATTACACTATATTCTTCAAGAATTAACTAATTGCACAAAATTCTATTGGTAGAGCATTTAAGTACTGTTAATTCCTTTTCTGTCTGTCGTTTGTTATTCTTTCTTTTGTGTTCAACTTTATATTACTTATCACTAGTAAGCAGTGTGGTGTATGTATAACTTTTTAACCATAACTCTGTTTGCTGTTGAAGTTTAGACCTCAATGAATTAATACTCTATTGGATGTACATTAAGCATTTCCTTATAGTTGAACATTATCTGCTGTATATGGCTTACTTATATACCCTTTATTATTGTCGAGAATTGTTTACGCGTATACCTTTATTCTGTGTCTGGCGTTCGCGAGCTACATATCGGTGGTCGCCTTTGACACAGCTTTTTTTTTTTCTACTGACGCATATTAACTGTGCTTTTGTCGGCATCCAACCATAGACACCTCACCACCATTTGAGGCTTGCATATTATATTGCATTACTTTACGTGCATTATAGTACCGTATTATAAAACGAACCTGTGGTTTTGGATTTTACGCGTCACTCTGTGTGGTTATCGCCTAGGATTTCTTAAAAGAAAGCCACAGATACAATGTATGAAAAGTTACAAAGCCAACAGCTTTTTTTCAATAGTGAGATCTACTCCTTCTATGCGAAATATCCTGACTCTATTTAACATCTTGTCCGCTGATAGTAAGAATAATAACGCTCTCGATACTATTACAACTTAGATGACGTTCCCTTGATTGTAACTTTAATTTGTACAACTAGAGTAACACAAACATTTCCTATAATTGGCTTCTTGCACTAAACAAATTTATGATTTCAGATAATTATCTGTTCTTTTTCTAAGGAACAGTTCCCAAAGTGTTTATACAAGATTGTTACTCTAGCTACGGTCATATTTTTATCAATCTTGCTGACAGGATGTGTTCGTTCGTCAATTAAATGTGACGGGGTTCACCAGTATCTTACGTTTATATGCAATTTAATCTGAAGTTTTATTATGTAGGTCGTAAAATGCAGTCACCAAGAGGAGAATAGAGTAGGTAAATTAGGCCAAAATTTACACAAAAACTTCATTGAACACAACACAACCTAGAGGGAGAAGAGTAATTTCAGAGGGGAAAAATTTATTCTTCATCTAATTCTAATATAGGAAATGTAGTTAAGGGAACAGTTGATGAGGTATAATGTGTCCTATGAGGAATACTACTACTATTACTACTGCTATTACCAGTTTCATCACATTCTGGAATTATTCTCAAGATTTCTTCTTCTTGTGGTGTTGTCGTTGTTGTTGCTGTACTAGGGATGTCTGCGGAAATGACGACGTTAGACTCAAGATTGTTCTTTGAAAGACTTCCGAATTGATTAAAGTCAACATTGTTGTTGGCATCTGGGGTATTGGGGGTGGAACAGTTGTGAAATACGCTGTCATGAAGATGTTCTGAAGGATTTGTATTATCACATATTTCAGGCACTAAAATATTTGTAGAGAAAAACAAACAAAAAAATGAGATATTGTTTATTCAGCAAAGATCTTTGAAGAGAAGTACAAAAGAACAAAAAATAACCACTATAATAAAGAAGTTAAGTAGTCATCTTACCACGGCTATGCTTATTATCTAATCCATTTTTAGAAGATGAAGAGGAGCCATTTTCGAATTTACAGGTGTTATTTTTAGAATCATTCAATAATTCACCATCTTTTTTTGTGGATCTTCTTCTTTTATTGTCTGAATGATTTGAATTTACATCAATTGTATGTTGATGGTGAGCGGTCTGCCGAGTGACTTTCTTTCTGTGAATGTGAAAAGTCAGTAATAATATTAAGACTACAATGCAATCTGTATACATCAAAATGAAAACTTTTACAGAAAATATGACAATGAATATATGTGTAGGTTAATGAGAAATTCTGACTTGACCTAGGTAGCTGAACCATAAATGTCTCTCTGAACAAAGTAGAGATTACGTTCTTAGATGGTTGGAGGCAATCGGAAGGAAGCTTTCACCTAGGTTTTGTGTTTTTATTGGCACTTATCAGTCAGCAAGGTGCAGTGTACTTGAGAACTTGAAGAAATTGATGTTCCTCCTGAGATTCGAAATAGTACAGTCAGTGCTTCAGTCAGAGATGTGACCACTGAGCAATTTGGACTCGCGATCTATCTCCTGAAGGGCTATATAACATAATTTGATTGGACAGTAACTAGTGTCGTGCGTCTAGTCTTATGTTTGCCGCAGACTGAATCCTATCAGAAAGGACTGCAGATACGCCCTGCTGACTGGTGAGTGCCAACAAGCACGATACCTAGGTCGAAGACTTGCTTTCGATTGCCTCCAACTAGCCTATAGAAACAATTTACAGTGGCCCGTGATGGCAGGCCACCTAACATAGTGGCCACATCGCAAATTGCACTGATAGTGTGATGGTGTGATACAGACAATGTATCCAACGGAATATTATTCTCACATATTCCCACAGTTCAATACGGCATTCGCAACAGGATAATGTATGCATATTTGAACATTCTATTTCATGTCGTCTAATGTAAACCAAAATCACACGTTCAATGATTGGTTAGAGAATATAAAACTTGTGGTGAGAACTGGCTGCTAGCCAAATCGGTAGATAGTAATTTACGTCAATGTTTACGTCCTCAATATTGGTCGTGAGAAAAATATGAACAAAGACTGATTCAACAACCAACCACAGCAGACTTTGCGTAGGCGGATACAGTTAGCATATAGATGGATCTGACATTCAAGAAACAGCCACAAAGAGATGAAAGATTAACTTGCAGTGAGAAACAACCAATCAGAAGACTGTGTTTTTCTGCTAACAATTATCTATGATAATGTACAAGAAAATCTATAAATATGGGTTGATTTCCTTAATAAACGAGCTGTTGCCTGACCCTTGTCTTCTGTTTTTACAAACTGTGTATATATAAATAGCGGTGTGATCACTTGAAAATATACCTTGGCTTCCGTGTCTTGCCTTCTGTTGTTACAATAGAACTCAGTCTACACCAAACAAAGGACTAGACGACTCATGACACTAGTTACTTACTACCTACTACTACTACTACTACCAATCGAAGGGATTATGTTCCCTGTATAATTAAATCTTACACAATCAAACAAAACATGGATTAAAAAAATAATAATGTCAAGTATTGAAGCCATACTCACCGTATATTGCACAAAGCATTATGTAATGCTTCTACAGTGTCTTTAGGCGAAAAACCAACATGTTGATTACGCTTCGAGAAACTAACAGATCTCAGTCGTTGATAACCATCACTTCCTACTACTGACAATTTGTCATTGGATAAGGATTGTCGAAGACACATGTTTCTTTCGGATAATATAGCATCTTGATTGTCACCAGCTAGTCCAGAACCAGCACGCAAATCACTCGTATCCAAAATAGTCACTTCATCTCCACTACATTCTGTATTTTTTTAAAAAAAAAAGGGGAATAAAAACAGGGAGATGAAATAAAGAGGAGTGAAAATTCAATGGAAATTAACTTAATCACGTAAATGTATAACTAAAGAAATAAAAAAGTCTGATAGACGACTACTAAATCAACATTACTTTAAATCATTCTCAGGACTTATACACGAACTGATCGTCTAAAGGCAACCAATGTTGTAAATGAATTGTTCCAAATCCAACGGGAAAGCGCATGTGGTACCAATTGACAATATAGTGAACTTTCTGGTGTCAGGCATACATCAGAAAAAAAAACGCATCTGAAACTTTGAGAAAACTAATTACTATCTCAGTGACTTGATGGTAGGTTACGGTTAGATCAGTTCGAAAGGCAAATGTGATAAAACTGGATAAACAACACTTCTGAGTTTTGCTGTAATTTACACAAACCCTGCCTACCATAGCAGCCAGTCCTAAGCTCGGAAAAGGAGAGAGAGAAGGTTGGGCGTGGGGCTAGTGACCCTACACCCTGGAAAATAAACCCTATCGCCACCGACTACCTTGTCAAACCAACAAGGTGAGACTTAGGATTTGCAAAAGAAAACCGTGTGAAATCACGCTCCTATCCACTTCAACGAAAATATTAGGCTACATCATTCTGAAGAGACTGAAAGATGCTCTGGATGCAAAACTCTGCCCCGAACAAGCTGGAAAAGCAAATCACCTGCGGAACAAATAGCAATGCTACACATCACCAATGAATAGAGCGTAAAATGGCAGTCATATCTCTACCTCAATTTTATCCGATAACCGAATTGACTCCAATCAACTAGTGTGACTTCTGTAATTGACTTCATAGTCATTGCACGGTATTTCTTAAATTATGTCATTATTTTTATTCAAGTGTTGGTTTGCAGGGATTTTATTGGTTTCACGACTTCAAGAAGAACTGACATCGGTCAGAGGACCATTGAAAAACCTGGAAGTACTGGAAAGCTGTTTCGTTCTAGTTTGGGACAATCGTCTTGTATTCCCAGGTTTTCAAATGGTCCTCTAGCCGATGTCAGTTCATGATGAAAACCTGAAATACATCACTTCTCTTAATTCCATCCATCAGACCCTTAGGCCAACAAAGTTTATCACTGAGTGAGTTGGTTGGTTTAAATACCAGCTTAATTCCAGGCAAATTAACAATCTTACGTACGGCTTCTGATGTACCTTGTTCGTATATCAGGCTTTGAATCCCCTATTATTTAATTTATTTTCATTAATTACACTTCTACTCTCATTTTCCATAAAGGTCTTCATATGAAAAACTGGTTTCTACATAGGAATTTGCACATAAGTGCAGCACAGTTCGAGTTCTCACACTCCATGCAGCACACAAAGAAAGACAAAACGGAGAAAATGAGAGATTCCAGAGAACGATTATCAGCAGAAATGTAAGGGAGAAAGAATAGTAACACGGAAAACAACAGGGTTTTGTTGGATATGACTAATCACAAAGAGTGAATGCATCTGCGCCATTCATTGAGAACAACTTTGAGCCATATCACCAATTGTCTCCAGCCTTCATTGGTTCTTACCATCCCGAGGACCCCAACCAGGAAGTCTACACCTCCCTACGTGATTGGTTTAAACTAACTGTTATGGATTTGATTGACTGATGAGGCCATGTTTTAGTTTGACCACCACTACCACTAGCTCTTTTCAAACCTGATCCTATGTCAGTTAACATCACCCATTTCGAGGAAGACGATGGTTAGACATGAGTCCTAACTATCTCAATCGATGCAACTTCACAACCTCGTCGATTACTTTCTTCTCTGGCTTTGCATGCTGAGTGAAGTGTGGCTTCAGCCGCAGGTCTCAATTGCGTTCAGTTCTTTGTTAACGTTTCCATCTGGCTCCACGTCTGCTCACATACTTCCATTTACTCTTCACATGACCTCCTCCATGTCACCCTCGGACGACCAACTCGCCGCTTCCCATTCGGGTTTCACTCGAGTGATGGCCTGGCGTGTGGTGTCACTTGGTGGTTTTCTAAGTGTATGGCCAATCCACTTCCATTTGTTCCCGCATATTTGTTGCACAATCAGTTCTTGCTGGGCTGGTTCGCTCACAGAGATCCCACTCTGTTGCTGATCTTTTCTGACCGGCCATTTGATCTTGAGTATTGAGCTAAGACATCTCTTGATGAAGGTATGCTGTTTGTTCGAAGTGCCTTTCGTTACGCGCCAAGTTTGTGATCCGTATAGTAAGTAGCATTACCTCCACATTGGGGTTGAAAATCGGCACTTTGTTTTTCATAATGAGTGTTGTTGATCTCCACATGGACTTGAGAGTAATGAAAGTTTTCCTTGCTTTCCCGATCCTCGCTTTGATATCCTCGTCAGTTCCGCCTGTAGTTGAAATGGTCGGTCGGTTTTCGACATAGAACATAGTTAAAATAGTTGAAACATAGTTGAAACGACGCTTTCCAGGTCGGTAGGTAAAGAAGGTTGCTTCTTTCAGACTCCTCCCATTGATGCTGATTGTTGCCTGTTGCTGCTGCTGTCGGCCAAGAATCTTCATCACCTCTGTTTTCTCTATGTTCACCTGAAGTCCTATCTTCCCTGGATGCTTCTTCTGCCAACCTGTTGCTCTTCACTTGCATATCTTCCAGTTTGTGGGAAATTAGACATATATCATCGGCGAAGTCCAGATCCTTCAATTATTTTTGTGAGTCCATTTTATGCCTGTTTCCACGTTGCCCAGTGTGTTTCTGTCGCATTATCCAGTCTACTGCAGTCAGGAAAATCATTAGAGCCAGGCTTGTCTTACTCCCGGGTGACGATATCTGCTGTTTATATATCAGGCAACATTACAGCCGTAAAAACAACACAATCTGAGCTTCTAAATAATCTCCACCACTAGTCTCCTTTTTTTCATCTTTAAGTTTATAGTTCTAAAATCTCTTTTAATGAGGATGCTTAACGAATCGTATAGCGTCATCATGCAGCTATACATTAAAAACATATGAAGCATATTTCGAAAAAAACGGGAATAATGAAACTCGAATAATAACAATAATAATAATTAATTAGTAGTACACCACTTACTTACCTGATACTGAACGGTGTTTGAGAATACCTTTCAATACTGGCGCTGTTAGACAATCGATTTGTTCTGAATTACTAGGCGTGGAATTACACCTTAGACGTCTACTAGTAGTAGTAGTAGTAGTAGTAGGCAGACCATTACTCTTATTAACTTGATTATTTACTCCAATAGAAGATCCAATAGACTGGTTGGTATTCGATAATGGATTATCTTTTAAGATAGTATTATTCTTTTCAATAGCATTGTAATTACTATTATTTTCACAGTTAACAGATTTATCATTGGTATTCCATTCGATAGAACAACAGTTATTTGATACAGCAGTGACACGAAGTGAATTCAACTGTTGGTGATTAATCATCCCTGAGTTTGTACTGTGTATTTGTGGTTTAGAGGATATGTTATTATTATTATTATTCACTGTAGCCTCACTTTTAGTAAGCACACTGGGACACGTTACATTAGTAGAATATGATGTAGCATTATTATAATTGACATGGGATGATAAAACTTCCTTTCCAATAAATGAACCCTGTTTAATTTTTAATGAGGAAAAAATAACAAAAATTAACAATGAGTTCAACAATGAAATAGGCGACAACAACAAAAAAACTCAATATGAAACACTTTTCCGCTATTGAAAAGTTTGTTTGTCTGAGTGGTTGTGTGACGGCTGGCTGCGGTGTGATGGTGAAAGCTGAGGGTGGCATACACCAATTTGACCAACCTATGAATCCATTGAGACGTCAGTTTGCCTGCTCAAGGTCGAGTTTTACAATGCTTTAGTGCGCACAGTCAGTCTTGCTTTACGCCTGTGAAACCTGGTCTCTCTGAGCTGAGGATGTGCGGTGACTCCAAGTTTTTCTTCGAGGAGGAGGACCTTTTCACTTTGAGCATGCATAGGATAATATCGTTTTATTGAACGACAATGTATACAGGCTACTCAAATCTCATGTAATCCGTGGTTGATCAGTATGGTATGTGTTTTGCTACACCGAAATGCAAGGTATCATTGCAAGATTGGCAGACAATTTTAGGATAATTTTATATCCACTAATTTTTTATACTGAATATTTCAATACAAATGTAACTAGACAAGCGCTAAACAGAGCAATTTTTAGTGAAGTTTATGAATGCATGGATGGCCAAATAAAGTGAATACGCAGAAATAATTAGCAAAGATACACACGCACGCACACACACAGATATGTGTACACAAGTCTACACTTTGTCTTGATGAAGATGATTACAACTAAGCCATCATTCAAAACTCAGTCACTCACCAACAATCTCAGATCACGCTATACACCTCACATAAATATTTACTATTTGTTTGATTTCAAGGTGAACACAACTGCATTCCAATCTCTAGGTAGCTGAATGGTAACATGCTTGTCTAGTGAGTGAGCTGAACGTTCTGCGTTAGATCCCCGGTGAAGTTATAGTTGTGTACTGGCAAACAGATTTAAAATAGGACAATAAAGCTAACTGTCCAGTACTGCCGACTCGATGAAATATTTGTTTTATAAATTATATATATATATATATATATATACATAGATTAAATGTTGACGCAAGAATTTAACCTCTGCACTATTACCAACATAAAATAAAACAAAACATCGGAGATTATATTTGTTTACAACAAATGTATACAATCAAACTAACCACCACGTGTCAGGTGATTTGATTCACAACTGCAAAAACTCAGAGAAGTCTTTGAAGTAAAGATAGAAGTAAGACAATGCTGACTACTATCACTGATGATAGTGGTAGAGTGGATTTTGAGGATGACTTATGTGTAATGTCATACAAACTCGAAGCCTTACAGGTGAATACCAACAAACTGGTAGAAGAAGCAGCGAAGACAAAACTTCAAGTGAACATGAGGAAAACGGAGGTGATGAAAATATCCGGCGACCAACAACAATAATAATAATAAGCACCAGTCATTATCAACGGAATAAATTTGAAAGAGGTCGGTCGCTTCCTTTACCTATCTAGGAGACATGTGCTTTCGACTACAGGCAGTTGAAAGCGATGAAGATGTCAAAACCAGTCAGTTTGGAAATCTTCTGCATTCCGTAGCATAAAGAAAGAAATTCGGATTTTCAACGCCAATGCTAGGTCAGTCAGTTCTTCTATATAGATCAGGAACTTGGCGAACGCGTCAAGAAAGGCACTTCCAAGGTCCAGCTGCAGACTTTCATCAACAGCTGGCTTCTCTCCATATAGAAGGTGAAGCGGCTTGAAAGAATTAGGGAAAGGAAACTCCAGGAACAAACCAACCAAGAACCTAGTACTCCACAAATATGTTGAAGAAAATGGGGGTGGATTGGACACACGCTCGGGAGATCGTCAGGTGACACCACGCGTAAACCAGGCCATCGCTCAAGTGGGGAACAAGTTGAGCGTGGTTCCAAGGGTGGCATGGAGGAGACTGAGTGAGGAGGAGATGAGAGACTATGAGCAATTGTGGGACCAGCTTAAGAGGGTCGCAGAAAGTAGGACAAAGTAAAGATGTGCCGTTACTGAGAACCCACAGGAACAACAATAATAATAATTAGTCTATTCACTATGTAAATATGCATGAGGTATAAGAAAAGGACTTTTTCAGAAACTCCTTTGGAAGCTACAGTCTAAATATGACTTGAGCAGAGCAAGAAAGACAAATGTGTCAGGATAATATGAGCTCATTATTTATTATTTTGAGGATTCTTCTCAACTGGCTACAATATGAAAAATACAATAAAAATAAATTACATTAGAGATTTCAACATCGTTTTTTTTGCGCCCCGACAAGGAGTATATACGTCCACGCCAGGTTCACTTTTAATAGTTTGAAAACATTTTCGGGCATTAGGTATATGATATTCATTATTATAAAAGTTCTTGTATTTCCCAATGAATGAAAAACAAAACAATATTGTTTTTACTGAAGTTTCGCTATTTTATGCTAATAGCTTTATCAAAGTATTATTAAACCAGAATTTAAAAATACTCAGCTTTATATTATATATATAACAACTTAATCATCGTTCCTCACCATGGGGTAATTTTTACGTTGTCAAGTTAGCCAGTTGGAAAAGATAACAAAACCATGTGTAGATTGTTGGATTTGATAAGCGTATAAAATTATAAAAGCAGCATGTATCCGATTCTAGTTAGCTGAAGATGATATCAAGACTTTCGGTAATGGGAATGCCAGTACATAGTGAGTTAATATCATAGCTTACCATAATATCTTCTTTATCAATTTCCCAGTGTTCTATTTTGGATTTGAAACCAAATGAATTTTTTATAACATTTCAGTGCCATTTTGCAGTAGTTTCAGGATCGAAAATAAGTATTTGGAGAGGTTGTATGTCAGTGAGTTGGTAAAATCTATTACTGCTCTTAATGGAACTGTGGGTTTATGTATCTTTGGTTGACCGTAGAATCTTGAGGGTACACAAAATTTTGCTTTTAGTTTAAACCCGAGAGAGAATTTCCAACTTTGGGTTCTAGTTCCTGAAGGAGTCTGTTGGTATTCAGTTTCATTCTGTTGAATTTAACAGATTTCTTCTTTTCTTCAATAAATAAGTATGGTCCATCAGACAGGTGTTCAATCTCCTTCTTTTCATTACCCCAGTGACGTTTCCACTGCCTTCTTTTTCAAATTTCTTAGGGCCCATATTCTTGTTTGATGAGATTAGATGGTATGTTTCATTGTGTCATTAGGCTATTAGCATTAAACAGCGAAACGCCAGTAAAAACAATATCGTTTTGTTTCTCATTCACGGGGAAATACAAGAACTTTTATAATAACGACAAGGAGTAATTGATAGGAACTATAAGTAACATAAGTTCGGAGTGATGTAATTTGCTAAATTATTTAGAGTTAAAAGGATTGACTGTTTATAGGTTCAGGTTGTAGTTAGTTGAGAAGAATCCTCGAAATAATAAATGATGGGCTCATATTATCCTGGTACGTTTGTCGTTCTTGCCTTTGTCGATTATTGGGAAGAATTGTACGAAGTCTTCAAATATGATTAGTAGTGATGAAGCAGTAAACGACTAATCTACTATTCTCCTTAATTAGCTCATAGGATAGACGCCTTGAACGCTGGAAAGAACATTTTGAGGAACAATTTAACTTGCCTACAGCCACACTGAACCTCCTTGCCATCCAGCACACACCCGAGTGCGATATAGACACTGATCTGCCGTCTGTAAGTGAGGTCACAAAAGCTATCTGTAATCTGAAACGAGGCAAAGCGGCAGGACCCGATGGAATTATTCTGGAGGTGCTTAAATATGGGGGTGACATACTAGTATATAGTTTAAATAAGGTACTAGGTAACGTCTGGGAATCATAGACGGTTCCAACAGACTGGGGTAAGTCACTTATTATACCGATATTCAAGAAGGGATATAAGAATAAAACTTGTGCACTGTGGTAGAGTGTAATTCCACTATGGGTAAATTTTGATAAAGTCTCACAGTGTTATACAGTAATGTTTACTGATGACGTTTCGAACATAAATTATTGCCCGTAATCATATCAATTTGATATGGCACTTATCCAGTATGAAATTACATTCCACCACAGTGCCCAAGTTCTACGCTTACATTATTCACTAATAAAACATTCGTACCTCTCGTTTTGCATGCCCGATTTAATGTAGTGTATTTACTTATCACCTTGATATGATTATGAGCAATAAAGTGTGCTCAAAACGTCATCAGTAAATATTACTGTATAACACTGTGAGACTTCATCAAAACAAAATTTACCCATAATGGAATTCAAGAAGGGAGACAAGTCCTCATGTGATAATCATAGGGGGATCAGCCTAACGAACATAGTTTCTAAAATCCTAGGCTCAGTAATCATGCACAGACTAAGCAGAACTCGGGAGGAACAAACGAGGGAAAATCAAGCAGGCTTTAAGCCAGGTAGAGGGTGCATAGATCATATCTTCACTCTCCGACAGATCCTAGAACATAGACACACTTTTAGGCGTCCAACAATTGCCATATTTCTTGACTTGAAGGCGGCCTTCGACTCCGTGGATCGAAAGGCACTATGGCAATGTTTAACTGTGAAGGGAGTGCCAAGAAAGTACATTGCACTAATCAAGGCACTCTACTCACACTCACGTAGCTGTGTAAGCGCTTATGGGGAATTGTCATTTGAACTGATAACAACCAGTGGTGTCCGTCAGGGATGTACACTTTCCCCATTCCTGTTTAACTTCATCATAGATATGCTAATGGAAGTATCCTTAACTGAACTTAACGACTTAGGAATCGACTTGTTACCAGGGAATAGTCTTATGGACTCAGAATATGCAGATGACATAGTCCTGTTAGGGGAGGATGCTGACAAAATGCAGAGTCTTCTGAACACCTTGAGCAGCAATCTTCGTATGTTTGGCATGCGATTCGCCCCTGTAAAATGAAAGATGCTGCTACAGGACTGGACTACGTCTACCCCTAGCTTAGTGATAGGGAGTGAAGTGATAGAACGTGTTGACCACTTCACCTATTTGGGAAGTTGTATCAGCACCAACGGATTGATTGGTGACGAAATCTCAGCACGGCTCCAAAAAGCTAGGGCTGCTTTCGCTAACTTACACCATCTCTGGCGTAGGCGTGACATCCGGCTACCAACCAAGGGACGTGTGTACTCCTCAGCAGTTCGCTCCGTCCTTCTCTATGGCTCTGAAACATGGCCAATACGAGTTGAAGACACGAAAAGGTTGACTGTTTTTGATCATAGATGTCTACGATCTCTTTTTCACGTTAGGTGGTATAATAAGGTAAGTAATGTTGACGTTAGGCGTAGAGTGTTGGGTAAAGAGGGGAAATCAATCCAAGAGGCTATGAAGTTACATAGACTGAGATGGCTAGGTCACGTGCTGCGCATGCCTAACCATCGTCTCCCCCGACGGGCATTACTAGCTGATATAGGTGCAGGTTGAAGGAAAAGAGTAAGTGGTGGCGAAACAAAAACATGGCATCAATCCATGAAATCCTTGACAGTTAAACTGAGTCAGGTAGAGAGATGCAGACTTCTGGGTTGGGGCCCGCCCTCGGGACTCTAAGAATCAATGGCTGGAGACAATAGGTGACATGGCTCAAAATCGTTGTCAATGGCTTACGCAGATGTATTCAGTCTCTGTAATCTTTCATATTCCTTTCTACTATTACTCATTCTGTTTCACTCTTATACTTGTCAAAACTCTATTGATTCTCTTCACTCATCTTCTTGTCCAGTTTTGTGTGCTATTTGGAACGTGGCAACTCGAACTGGTGCACTTCGGTGCCAAGTTCTACGTTGAATTCAGACAGAGAGACAGACAGACAATCCACTATTAGAGTCATGAAGACATGTTATGTTCCACTATATTAGTCGTTAAGCGGGATCTTTTAATTATTTCTTCTTCTTCTTATCAATATTATTATTATTACACTATCTGGCAGCCCGAAACTCGGTAAATGGAATGGGGTTCGAACCCATGCCCTAGTGATAAGTAGTCGAGAGCCTACAACAGTCAGCCACGACTCCACATTATCTTTTGAGCACTGAGAAGGGATGTTGCTCAGTGCATATTTAGAATCTACACCGATACTGTTGAAAGGCTTCATTAGAGTTTATATACTGCAGATATGAATCCAGATTAAATAAAAATTTGAGTTGCATCTGGATTCGTTCTAAACAGTATTTCAGCTATCGCATAAATCACTGAACAACAGTGCACATTGTGCCCGTACTTCGTCAGCAGTTGTTTTGTCTATCCCACTTAGTGCTATTTCTATTTTAGGGATGAAATCCTCAGGTTTCAGCTTGTCTACCGCTACACTGAAATTTGGTCCCTTTTCTAATACACTTATTTCTGTGGAATTTAATATATGTGTGTTGAGAGATCGATAACCCACTTTGTTTTATCGATCGCCGTTGACTTTAGATTGCTGATTTCATCTTTCTGAGATGAAGATTTCTCCTTTAATAATTTATTGAACTTTTGATTTGAGTATTTTTTTGACTTTTTGAAAGTTGCTGATTTGGCATTGCTAGAGAACTGTGTTATAAGATCATAATCCACATTGGTAACTATTCCCATTAGCTTTTGCTTTAATTGCTCAATTTCATATCTGAAATGTTGCAACTTTTTAACAATTCTGTGGATCTCTTCCTTCAGGCATAATTTTTGTAGACTTTCTATTCTACTTTTAACTCTGTCCGTCGGAACTGGAGCTAGTAGACATAGCTATTTAGGAATGATTTCATTTTTCAAGCATCGAATGTTGAAAATACAATGATTTTCATATCTTGCTTCAGTTTGCGAAAGTCGAGTGAGTTTATTGATTGGAACCTTTAAAACAAAACAATTTTGTCTATCTAATACCCTGCAATGATTATTAGGTCAAATTTTTCGATCATAGATGTCTACGATCTCTTTCTCGCGTTAGGTGGTATAATAAGGTAAGTAATGTTGACGTTAGGCGTAGAGTGTTGGGCAAAGAGGGGAAATCAATCCAAGAGGCTATGAAGTTACACAGATTGAGATGGCTGCGCATGCCTAGCCATCGCTTCCCCCGACGGACATTACTAGCTGATATGGGTGCAGGTTGGAAAAGAGTAAGCGGTGGCGAAACAAAAACATGGCATCAATCCATGAAATCCTTGACAGTTAAACTGAATCAGGTAGAGAGATGCAGACTTCTGGGTTGGGGCCCGCCCTCGGGACTCTAAGAATCAATGGCTGGAGACAATAGGTGACATGGCTCAAAATCGTTGTCAATGGCTTACGCAGATGTATTCAGTCTCTGTAATCTTTCATATTCCTTTCTACCATTATTCATTCTGTTTTACTCTTATACTTGTCAAAACTCTATTGATTCCCTTCACTCATCTTCTTGTCCAGTTTTGTGTGCTATTTGGAACGTGGCAACTCGAACTGGTGCACTTCGGTGTCAAGTTCTATGTTGAATCCAGACAGACAGTTAGGTCAAATACATAAGTCAAAGTTGTAGAAGAGGGGCAGTCAGACTAGCCGAGCATAAAAACCTAGCAAAATCTAGATTAGTTGATCCGAATAAGATAAGAAATCTAGAGAATAGTTCAGTTACAGCACTCACTACATGCAATTACACACAACCATACAATAGGATGGGATAAGATGACAGTTTTAAAATCCAATGTAACAGGTTAGAGAGGGAGATTGATAACAGAAGGTTTGTTTATCGAATCAGCTCCAAATACGTGTAATAGGAATGATTCAACAACTGTCCCAGATATTTGGAAAATTCCACTACCCCAACGACGACAAAAAACAAAGAAAACTATAAAACTGAAGTTTGGAAGTAATTTGATTATAATTGATATGATTATGAACAATAAATTTTGTTCGAAACTTAGTCATCCAGTAAATAATACTATGTTTCACTGTGTGATATATCTAATAAACAAACTAATATGGAATTACTTACTACCACTGTGCTCAAGTTCTACATATATATTAAAGGTTTTGCTAAATCGCAGACTTCATCGAACCACCTTTTTTTGGACCAATAATCACCAAATTCAACTTCATATATATGCTAATGAGTAATGCATCAGATACAATGACGAATTCAGGATTATTCTGTATAGCTCCATAACTTGAGGAGTTTTTCGGTCGGTCGGTCGGTTTTCGACATAGAACTTTGCACATATGTGTAGCAGTTCAAGTCGCCACACTTCATGTAGCACACAAAGGAAGAGAAGGAAGTAGGAGAAATCCATAATATAGACAGTAAACAGAGGTGTGAGACAAAGGAATAGTAATAACGACGACCACACCACGTTGAGGAGTTTTTACATGCGATGTATGATGGAAGTGAAAAACGATTGAATCCTAGTTTCACTAATCTTCTCTGTTTCTTTACACATACCAAGTCCACTTTGATACGATAATGAGCAATATATTGCGCTCTAAACATCATTATTAATTAATACTGTACACCACTGTGTGCTATTTATAACAAGCGAAATCCTTCTCTGATGTAATTAAACTCTCTACCGCATTGCTCAAATTCTATTCTTATATTCAAAATTGCAACTTACCTCCATAGCACCGGTGGTTACAGAACGCCCAGTTGCAATTGATTCCCACCAGAAAACTTGATTAGCCAAGTGTTGAGATGATTTTTGATTATCAGACAAATGGTCACAGTTGCATATTGGTTTACGGATAATTAAAATGCCATTTGTTTCAGAGAAACGAGAAGATATTACCTCTGGTTTGAAACGATTATAGGGTAGTATTCCACACTTATGCGACTCAAATGATTTGCAGACATCATGTGTGGATTTGTCGGAGGATATAGACGATGAACATTGCAATACTGTCCCCCAATCCACAGTACAACCATCTGATCCACGACTTGAAAAGGTGATCAATAGGAGTAATTGAGCTGATAATGTGTGAAATTTATTATTATTATTTTTATTATTATCGTCCAAGGCATTTGAATGGACACGATCAGTCCAAATTATCTCAACTGAGTCAGCCAGTATATTACGTACATCTAACAAAATAGTCAAGGATGATGTATCCTGACGAATAAGAACAGGTGCTAAACGCCTAGAAATAATATTGGTAAGAAAAAAAGGAAATCATAATCAATAAATTCAAACAGCATTATTATGTGCATTTTGTTACCAAAATAAAAAAAAATTGCACTATGATCACTTTATTTTTAGTAGATGAATGAATGAAAAGCTCTTAAAAATTATACTATTCACTACTCTAAAATAGCACTGAACAAACGAAGAATATGAATTGTAAAATGGTCATAAAGTGATAATTCTTCTGCATCTTACAACCACAGCTCATACAATTTTGTTTATTATTCATGTTGATACCTGTTTCATGGACAAGGTTTTTTAAAACACAAGAGATGTTCCTCTGTTATGTTAATTTCGATTTATTTCCCTGAAGAAGTTCGGACCAGATTGCCGAACGAAACGTTGGAATTACTCATTTCAATCTCGCTAAGATTGTACTGATATAATTTTTTACAAATGTCTACTTCTTACTCGGCGCCCAAATATTTTAGAACTATTCTGTCAAATCTTGACGACAGTTCATTTGAAAACATTAATCCTTATAAAAGAAAAGTCTCCGAAAGTTTATGCATAAGGGGTAAGTTTACACGTCCCTACCGAATATGAGCATTTCTATGGGAAGCTAACGATTAAACAGAAACAACAACAACAAAAACACCCAGTATTACGTTTTTCAGAAACTTTGAGGTTTTATAGGTTCAAAGACAGAGTGTGGAAAACTCGACATCTGCTGCTTTCACAATAACGTCTCATAAGGCGACCTAAATTCGAGGCTTTGATTTTGTCAACCACGTGCTGACAAACTAGTACTTGATGTCTTCTCATATTACTAACTATTATAATTCAGCATAAAAATATTGAAAATATACTATTTTCAAGAGTTATTTTGTAAGGAATTGATTTGTTTCAAGTTTGATCACAGATTGATATAAGTGAGAGAACCAATGAAAATCAGGAAGTAAAGGAAGGCTGTTTCACCCTACTTTTGGACTCATCAGCAGCACGCACCCCCACCAGGGTTCGAACCCAGGACCTTCCTGTCACAAGTGGAACTCGAAGACCATTTAGCCACTGGGACTTGAGTCAATGTCCAACCCATGAAATTCAACTTCTACCAATTAGTGATTTTAGTGCGACTGGCACCAGGCAATGTCCTGTTGGCTGGGTCTTAGTAGCCGAATGGTCTCCGAGCTTGCCTTGTACCCAGAAGCTCCTGGGTTCGAACCTCAGTGATGGGTGAGTACTGTCGATGAGTCCCGAACTAGGGCGAAACAGCTTTCGAATACTTCCTGGTTTTCAATGGTTTACTAACTGATATCAGTCCGTGGTAAGACTTGAATTATTGTTTTTTCAAAAACAAAAGAACGGTTCAGAGGCATAATAATAACAATAATCAGAATAATAATTACCTATCTTCGGATAAAATCATTTCTGAACTTTTAAGTCGCTTTACTTTAACTTCACTGCCACATACACTTGGTGATTTAACGGTTGGCTCTAAGACGACTTCACTCTTTGCTAAATTCTCAGTTCCCAGCATTGTTTCATGTGAATTTATTAATGATCCTGTAGTTTTATTCACTTCGGTTAAACACTCACCCATAGCAGACAAAGCAGTCGTGTCAGTATTCGTATATGATGTACCGTTACATGAGGGATTTAGTGTATTCCCACTAATATCATTTGAAGACTTTGATTTGTTTCGTCGCTTACGACGTTTACGACGTCTACGTTTCTCAGCTGTATCGTTCATTGTAACACAGTCAGGATTAGAAGTATTTGCAGTAGAATTAGATTCAGCGCCTTTTGAATCCTCTTCTCCTTCTTCTTCTTTATAATCAACACCATCATCGCTGTTGTTGTCACCACTACTTTCAACACTATCAACAAATTGGCAAGGACTGAATTCTTTTTGTTTAATTATGGGAAGTTTGACGCATAGAGTTCGGGTAGACTTGTCGAATCTTGCTGTACCTTCGGCAGCAGCATCCATTTCATAGAGTAATTTTAGGTCAGGCTGACAGCCAATCGGTTTTTCACTCTGTAAATTTATAAAATGAAAATTGAATTTTCTGAAAAAACAAATTAACAGAAATAGCTAGGTGAGGTAAGGGACATTAGCAAATTATATAAACCAAACTACTAAACTTCATGTCGCTGATTTGTTCGTGTACATCATAAAGTAGGTCGATTGTTGAGGCTGTTGCATAACATAGTGGGGTTTAAACATATAACCAAGTGATATCGTTCACCTGCATACCTTGAAGTCCACAAGTCTGTCTGTCTGTTTTCGACATAGAACTTTGCACATATGTGCGGCAGTTCAAGTCGCCACACTCCATGTAGCACAAAAAGCAAGAGAAGAAAGTAGAAGAACTGCATAATATATACAGTAAACAGAGGTGTGAGACAAAGGTATAGTAATAACGAAGAACAAAACAGTTTAATTGGAAATCATAAGTCACAAGGAGTGGATGCATCTGCGCCACTGAGAACGATTTTGAGCCATGTCACCAATGGTTTCCAACCATTGGTTTTTACCGTCCCAAGGACCTCAACCAGGAAGTCTACACCTTCCTACGTGGCTTAAACTAACTGTTGTGGATTTCATTGAGTGGTGCCATGTTTTCGTTTGACCGCCGCTAGCTCTTTTCCAGCCTGGCCCTATATCAGCTAACATTGCCCGTCGAGGAAGGCGATGACTAGGCATACGTAGCACATGTCTTAACCATCTCAGTTGATGTAATTTCACAGTCTCGTCGACTGATTTCCCCGCCTTACCTACCACTCGACGCCTAACCTCAATATTGCTCACTTTATTATACCACCTAACGCGGGAGATAGAACGCAGACACCTATGATCGAAGACAGCTAATCTTTTCATGTCTTCTGGTTTCAATGGCCAGGTCTCACAGCCATAAAGGAGGACGGAGCGGACTGCTGAGCGGTGGTCAACTTGCTCTACCACTTCACTTCCTATTTCTAATCTAGGGGTCGGTGTAGTCCAATCCTGCGACATCATCTTACACTTTACAGGGGCGAATCGCATGACAAACATACGAAGATTGTTGCTCAAGGTGTTCAGAAGACTCTGCATTTTGTCAGCGTCCTCGCCTAGGAGGACTATATCGTCTGCATATTCTTGAAGTCCACAAGGAATTTGTTGTTATTATTTGTTTCTTTATTTATTTTATTTGTTACCAGGAAAAAGTCTTGTGGACTTCACAACACTTTTTCCTGGCAACAAATAAATCCCTAAGTCGCTAGACTCAACTAGGATCACATCCTCTTGGTACATCTATGATGAAATCAAACAAAAATGCAGTCAGTGGGCATTCTTAAAGGACACCACTGGTTATTATTATTTCAGATGACAACTCTTAAACTACTGCATGATTTCGAGTAGAACGGAATGATCTGACTAGTGAGATATAATTTCTCAGCACTCTTTCCACAGTAACTCTCGATTGAAGGAGTCAAATGTCGCTTTCAGGTCTTGGGCGCCGGTAAGTGTACCTAAATTCCAGGACATCGAAGGGTAGAAATATGATCAATACATCATGTCGCTGACCTAAAGACTGTCTGATTTCTCAAGATCTGTTACTCCCCAGCACCATTTGGTCTACACGTGAGTATTGGAGCTCGAATTTTATATACTATTCCCCTATGATTATCATAAAAAGACTTGTCTCTCTTCTCATAAACTAACATACAATGATTTTCACCGGTCTAGTGAAACTATCTCTGCTTTTCAGACACTAACTGGTATCTTAGTTAAATCAGACAATGCTTTGACACCACCGTCCTTAAACGCCTCTGGTGTCATCTCATCAGGTCCTGCTACTTCACCATGTTTCAAATTAGACACAGAGTTTCCAGTCTCAGTTACAGATGGAAGACATAAGTTTACAGCCCATTCAGGTAGGTGTTGTATGCTGGACGAATTTAGAGTGGTTGCAGGACAGCTAAATTGTTATTCAAAGTGTTCCCTCCAGCATCGCAGTCGTTGATCCTGACAGGCATTTGAAGTACTGTTTTTCTCCAAAACTGTTTCGCCTTTCATGTCTTTTACAACTTGTTTCCCGCATGAGTCTAAATGGTTATCTGGTGCTACCTACGGCCGATGACTTCTCCATCTCTTTGGCTCTTGTTACCCACTACTACTTACGGTCGTTGCAGAGACTTTCAGTCGACTTGCATTTGAGCATCTTTTACTCTTCATCGTGTTGGGAGCCTTCCGGAATTAGTCTTCTTTAGTCTATGAGTTCGGCTAAACCAGCAGAGATCCAATGTCATCGTCTACAGCTGTCTGGGTATTATGCCAGGCTTCCTCAGGATGAGTCTTGTTGTCAATCAGCGATAAACGTTTAACCATTTCTTTCTTGAATGTGGACTAAGGGTTCTCACAAAGCTAAGAGCGTTAACTATATGTTGAGTGTATTGCATGTTATTAACTTCTGTTGTAGCACTGGACTAATTATCATTCAGACTACAAGATTCACTATCATTGTTATTGGCATCATAACCTGTCAACGTTATATTTATCAGCACTTATCTAAATGTGTATTTGTTAACCGACAGATGTGGTTGACTTCATTACTCCAACCCCAACAGTAGAACGCTTTGTACGTTCATATGCCTTTTAGTTTCATTTTCGTAAATCTTCTTTAATCCCCATCCTATACGGTTAGTACAACCAGTTGAAATGCTATTTACACACATGGTATAAAAACACTACAAATACTTTCATGGAATTAGGTTCACAGTCTTATCAATTAATTGATGCGGAAAGTAAGCGACAAAGTGACTTTGTTACTGCATAATATAAGAAAGCCCATAATGTCCTGTTATTTTCCTGAAAAAACTTGGTATAGTGTCATCATTCCACCCATAATTCTATGATGATGCAATAAATAAGTGTAAGCAGAACATTACAAAGACGTGAATCAGTTCAAGATGTTATAGTTGACGACAACAACAAAAGAATAGGAGGTTAAGAAAAGTAAATTAATATCGGAAGATGCATATTACTTGCAACAACAACAATGAATGCCGATGATTTATTTAAAACTTCTAGTTATAAAGATATAGCATGCAATCTAGAAAATATTACGTGGAATAAAAGAAATTTGTTGCATAAATAAGAGGATAAAAATGTGTTACGACAATGCTTCACGCAAACATAAAATATTATTTACAAGAATAGATTATTTTAACAGATGCTTAATACTGCTCGTTCACCGAAGTCTAGGTACAGTACGAAACTGGAGTATCGGATTCTACTGCTGACAACTAACAAAGTATTGAGGTTAGGCGTCGAGTGCTAGGTAAGGAGCGGAAATCAATCGACGAGGTTGTGAAGTTGCATCAATTGAGATTGTTAGGACATGTGTTACTCATGTTTAACCATCGGCCTTCCTCGACAATGGGCAATGTTAACTGATATAGGATCAGGTTTGAAAAGAGCTAGTGGTAGTGGTGGTCAAACTAAAACATGGCCTCATCAGTCAATCAAATTCATAACAGTTAGTTTGAAGTAATCAAGTAGGGAGGTGTAGACTTCCTGATTGGCGTCTTCGGGATTCTAAGAACCAATGAAGGCTGGAGACAATTGGTGATATGGCTCAAAGTTGTTCTCAATGAATGGCGCAGATGCATTCACTCTTTGTGACTTATAATATCCAGTAAAACTATATGGTTTTTCCGTATTACTATTTTTTTGCATCATATCTCTGTTATGCTTCTCTTTTTATTTCCTTCTCTTGCTTCGTGTACTAAGCGTAGTGTGGCAACTCGAAATGCTGTACATCGGTGTAAAATTCAACGTTGAAACCAGTCAGTGAATCATCTACTTTACTCCAGCTTAGTAATCAACCCTGTCCCTACCGAATAGTTTTTAAAATATCGATTTACCACATATGTAAGTGACTTGTGACATGAATATGGAGGCTATCACGCGAAATCCCTGATTCTGAAATATACTTCTGCAGATTACGCTTTTAAGCAACATCATTAATATATATATATATATATTCTCCCAACAATGATTTATGGCAGTATGACTTATCTATATCTGTCACTTAGTTGATGTATGTGGCAGAAAAGTTGGTTACCTTTATCATATTTAGTGTGAACTTTTCAATGATAGTCGGTTATCTGGATAACTTTTTCAGATATGATTACTGTCATCACTTTTTCCGCAGGTAACCTCAAGAGGTTCTATTGTGCATGAAAGCTGCTAAAAAAGACATTTCGTTTTTTCTGCAGATGACAGTTCCCATTGAACCTAATCACTAACGTACAGTAGGCTATTTCATCATTACAGTGGTAACTACTGTTAGCATCTGTCTTACACAACGGATTTTTTTACTGACATAGAACCTCAAGGATCAGTGGTCACTTAGAAAGTGACATGTAAGCCAAGTCAAGTTGGCAAAGTGATTTTTTTCTCGTTACAAATCACTAGACTGTTACAAACTTTCACATAACTAAGAGAGGTTTCAAACAACGGTTAGGAGTGGCAGCAATACTTTACACTGTATCAAAAACAATAATAGGACATTACCTATTTAAACATAAATATAGCAACAAAAAAACTTTAAGTCACATACGATTGGGCTTTACTTACATTATCTGGCGATAAACTCAAACAAGGAAACTTAATATTAATTACTAAACAGTCAAGTGGACCAAGAGGATCTGTTCTGTCGGAGTCTCTGCAAATGCTTAAATTAAAACCGGAACTGTGGGTTGTGGTGTGGTCTGGTATAGGAGGGCCATTTGTTCCATTAGATTTGACATTTTCTGGAATTCAAACAGAAAGTATAAAGGGAATTCAAATCATACTGAAATTTTTAAATTTCATTTTTGTAGGTGAGAATTCAGCAATACATATATATATGCCTGCAATTTGCAAAGATTTGGTTCGGGACGACTGTTTGAACAGCTTAATGTTGTTAAAATAAGTAAATAAATGAGAACGCTATGGTTTACTTTAACATCAGGCAAACACACAAACCTGAATTATTACTCTAAAGAGTTAGACCTATCACTCGGCAGAGATGTTACATGTCATAAGCCATGAGATACACATTTTGTGTGAAGGCTGGTGACACTACCCAACTGCCATGGCTGAAGTGCAGAAGGATTAAGACGAGGGGTCAACTTGTTGAAAGTTGAATTCTAAGCCCAACCAACATCTTTCCACCAAAGCGATACGTTCTTCAGTTATTGACTGATTGAATAAGTAGAACTGTGCACAAAAATACAGCAGTTCAAGTGGCCTTACTGCAAAGGCACTTAAAGGTAGAAAAAAACCCTAAGGAGCTATAAGTCACCGAAATCCACGAGATAAAAACTAAGCAATTGGAGGATAATGGGAATTTGATGGATGCAGGACCCCAAAAAGTGAATGTATCTTCACCAATGCAAAGGATTTTTGAACCACATCAACGAGTCACCCTGGTAACAAGTCAATCCCTCAGTCTCTAGATCTGAATAGAATCACATCCTTTTGGTACACCTATGATGAAATCAAACAAATATGGAGACTTAGAACATATCTTGTAAAAACCACTGGTTATCGTTACTTCAGATGTCAATTCCATAAGCAATTAAACGAGTGAGTCCCAGTAGAGTAATTTAGTGAGTGAGATATACTTCCTCGTGACCGCTGTCGGTCTGCCGACCTAGGACTCCATATATCCCGCACCAATTGGGCATTAAAGTCAGTTCATTAAACGACTGTATCTAAGCTTCTTCCTGTTAACATGAAGCTGGACGGCTTCTCATGGAACTCTTCTTTCACTTCGTCCACAGTGAAGTCGGTTGGGACCTAAGTGTACAATATCATTATTTATTATTCCCTTGAGTTCCGAGTGGAACATACGGATTCAACAACACATCTCCACCTTCTCCTATTTTCTGCCATCCTCTTCAGCTGGGTCCACGATTGCTCACAATCTCCCATCTCCTCCTCGCACAAACTCCTTCATATCACCCTCGCACCGACGACCCACACGTCGTTTCCCATGCGAGTTCCACTCAAGCACCGGCCTGCATTGCGCGCTATGTCATTCGATGGTCTCCTCAACGTGTGTCCGATCTATCCACCTCCACTTTCTCCTACATATTTGTTGAGCGATCGGCTCTCGCCTGTTGGTTTGTTCCCAGTCAGAGTTTATTGTCAATAATTCTTTCTGGCCGGCCATTTGATCTTCAGTATGCAGCCAGCCAGCGAATTGGGCAGCTGTTGATGGAGATCTGCAGTGGCCTGTTGGAAATCCTTTTCGTTACACGCAGTGCAAGTTTCTGACACGTATAGAAGAACTGAGTGAATTCACATTTGTGTTGGAAATCCGAATCTTGTTGTTTATGCTGAGTCAGTAGAGAGAATTTCCGAACTGGTTTCATGTTGATGAAGGCGTGCGTATCTTGCCTTTCTGATTCTGGTTGGTTGGCTGGCAGGCTAGCTTCGACATCTTCATTTGTTCCGACCGCCTGTAGCTGAAACGATGCTTCCTAGCCAGATAAGTGAAGGAAGTGGTTCTTGTCAAATCTCTCCCGTTGATGGTGATTGGTGCTGGTTGTTGTTGTTGTTTTTGCTGGTTGGTTGGTTGGTTGGTTATCTTCATCACCTCCGTCTTCTCTATGTTCACCTGGATGGCGTCTTGTCTTCGCTGGCTGCTTCTTCAGTGCGTTTGTAGCCAGTTTTCGCCAGCCTGCAAGTCTTCGACTTTGTGTGACATTAGACATATATCAGCCATACGCGAAACCCAGATCTTCTAGAGTCTTCTTATCGGTGGTCCAATGTATTCCTGTCTCCTCGCTCACGGTCTGACGCATAATCCAGTCCACCACAATTAAGAATATCATCGGTGATAGTAAGCAGTCTTGTCTTACTCGTGTCTGCACCTCGAGCGCCTGACTGAGTTTTCGGTTATGAAGTACCTGACACGTGCCACTGTCGTATACATTTTAGAGAAACCAAAATCGAAATCTTTCCTTCTACTCAAGAATCTGATCGGTTGGACAAGCGAATTCACTGTGATCCAGTTACGTAGGGTTTTTCCCCACCTAACATTAAATGACTGTCTTACCACAGAGATTCCTCTTGAGCCAACCGAAGGACCTTTTGACACCCATAAAGGGAATTTCGCGGATTCACCATGTTGCCGAGGTGCGCTTAGTGAATAACCATAAGGAGGTTTTATATGCGTGTCTCCGAAACACTCAAAAAAGTGGCTCAACATGCTAGAGTTTTGGCTACTGAGGCACGTTGTCCGATACAGTAAAGTATCGTGACACTGAATGCGTTAAAATGAAGTTGGCAGAGTGGCATTAAGAGACTGCCGTAGTGTCCTCCTGCTTCTCGTTTCTACTAGTGTTTGAATGGTCAAACAGGCTGGAGGGCCTAACTGTGGACTAGTAGACAGTGGGAGGAAAGCATAGTGGGTGATAATCAGGAAGGCTTTATATGCTTATGGAGGTGTGTGGGCAGCTATTACCTCCCAGCCTCTCAGAATACCTCAGACAGGAAGATCATTGGTGACTCGTGACCGCAGAGCTCATAGGGTATCTGCTTGTTTGAAGTGATCTTTGGGTTTATGCCCATGCTAAAATCTTACCGAAAACTAGAGTTTGCTAAAGGTAAATCGGAGTGTTCCGGGGCCTACATCTTCCAATTCCAACCTTCCACAAAGAGGAGAGACAGCAGGGCTAACTCGCCGGTCATTCGAAGGAAACACAACTGCTACTACATACCTATTCGCCAGCTAAACAACTTCACCTTCGCGCACCCAACTTAAAGACAGCGAGTGATGGTGACATCTGCTTTTATTCCAGCCAATAGCAAACGATCATTCTCGCAACGTAGGACTTTTAGAGTCATTTGTCCAAGCCACTGTAGCTGTTCGGATAATTGCGTTATGTGTGTCCAACCACGACGTCAAGGTGGCAGCTAGCGATCAGGTTTAGAGTTAAAATTATAACGAAAAAGCCTCTACTATACTCATAAGTCCGCTAAAAACAGTTCGCGATTCGCGAAACAGAAAGCTAGTTTTATAAACAGGCATAGAGACTCTGTTCGATTTGTCTACCGATACAATGAAATATTTCCAATCAAAAATATGGCTTAGGAGACCCGTCAGTGTTCCAAGACTCCACCAAACCTGAAAAGTGAGGCACCTGTATAGTTTTCAGCAGTTTTCGAAAATGTTCAAAAGTAAATTATCGGGTGTATTTCATAAATCTATATAGATGCCCAATACCTAACTAGAGTTAGGATCCTTTAAGGTGTCAGAAAAAGTATGAAATACACCTAGAGAACTTACTGTCAATCTTGTCTTTTGGTTCACTTGAATTATCAACATTCCCACTAGGTAGGTCAGTGCACAGACTTTTTATAGCTTGCTTCTGTTGTACAGTATTACTGACTTCCCCCATATACATTCTTCGACTGTGATTAACTCATGAGATATGATATAGACCACATACTTTTTCTTGTTAACAGAGTCAGATACCTCTCGTTCACCTTCTCTGAATATTCTGGCCTGTTTTGTTCGTAAATCCATGCTATCGGGACCGCCAGAATCGAGTATCTGCCAAAACAAACAACCTTGACAACTAACCTCCAGCTACTAAGACAAACAAAGACGACAGAAGTAAAAATTTCTTAAAGCTTTATGTCGACCGCAAGAGTGAATATTTCGTCTCATTACTTTTATTGAGAATACCCAAAGCCCTCCCGTTTTGTTCACAAATGACAGTATTTCATGTTCGTTATGTTGGTTGTACTGCTTTTTACTACTTCAAATTTTCGAACACTCACATATTGCACAACTTTGGAGAGTAATTTAAGGGGGATGCTATCGTTTTTCCATAGCCTCATCATCAGGTTAAAATTTTTACCAAGTAATTCATATGAGTTTTCACAGTGAATACTCTACTCTATTAACTTTGTTTCGACTTTGTGATGCAAGGCAAGAGTTAAGTGTCCATCAACCGTATGAAAGATGCCACACATGCACCACGCAGCATGTTTTCGGCTTTGACTGCATTTCTTCATGTGGCTGTTAATAACGGATATTTCTCGAAGACGTAAAAGAATGATGTGGATTGTCAATAATAAGGCGCCAGTTATATTATTATTGGTCCTCTACAGCCACTAAATTTTAGTCCGTCATACTTCACTCTGCAGTACAGCAAGTGAGACTTTGGAAACGCGAATATAGATGGCCTCAAAATGGTAGTGAAAATAGTGTTTTTAAAACACGTCAAATAAACAACTAACGACTCTAAGCCTTTCATCCTGAAATCAACATGTCTTTACATATTAGGCGGAAACAAACTTGTTAGAATACTGATTTCTCAGAGCATTTCTGAGGAATGACTTCAACTGTCTGACGATGCGGAAGAAATAAATACATCGAGCTGTCAAATTATCTTTATTGTTACTCAAAATGTATTAAGAGATCAAAATACTCCTATTCCGTTCTGATATGTTATGTTATGAACTTCTAATAGATATAGTCATGGCCTCTGAGGTTAACCAGATAATCTGCCCAGAAAAATTTGACGGATAAAGCTCTTGTGTAAACATGTTCGTTGGCTAATTCTTGTTTGTTACAGTTTTGTGCAACCACTTAAATCACTTACAGGCAATGCTTAATAGTCCACTAATATGTTATCACTTTATTAATGCAACTACATATCTATTTGGTATCCTTACCTGGTGGATCCTTTACTTGACGTCTATTTTATACTGCAATTACTGGTGTGAGATAAAAGAATTTCGTGAATTCGAGATAAAAACAGAAATACGAGCGAAAATGGCTTTCTTTCTGACATTATTCACAGTGCATTCCATTCGGTTAAGCGCTCAATATTGCTACATCAGCTCCATAAACACTGACAGTGTGGGATTGTGGTGAGTCGAAACTGTCTGATGATAATAAATTTAAATATACGCTAGCCATGTTAAAGTAAGCGAGCCCACTTACGTTACTGACATGGTGGTTGCAAATGTAGAAAACAGTGGTATTTGTAACACAGTTGCTTACTTGAGAAAATGACTTGTAGTGGTAGCGAAATATTACAACTCGATTCGAAAAATTATTTGCACTCTCCTTGTCTTCACCTTATGCTTCGAACATCATTTTTACAGGCACGATCAGTTATTTTATAAATTACAATCATGAAGTATCATAAATTAACAATTTTCAAAATTTTAAATTGTTCGATTATTGTACAATGTTAAACTGAAACACTTCACGAAGGTCACCACCAAAAGTTTTGTGTTTCTCATCAAAGCAACCAGCAAGCACCATATATGAACGAAGAGTACGTTTAAGCCTTAATAAGGGTTCAAATAGTTAAAATAATACAGAGTATAATAGTGCGTAAATAAAACGATTATCATGAGGTAGAGAAGCCGTATTTCAGTGAGAAGTTAATTCAAAGATCTCGAAGATTAGAACCCATAGGACAAACTGACCCATAAGATGTGTCACAAATTTCTGTAGGCATCATGGGGTAGCATCTTGACAAGAAGTTTAACGGGCTGGAAGATGGTAGGAGCAAAACCATCTTTTACAATTTAGATCTGTACAACCCTTATTTTCCTTTTTTTGTTGAGGATCTATACTAATGTTTAATCCCAGAGCTGTCAAAAAAATACATGTTGTTTTCCTACAGATCGGAGCGATTCACATTTGTGACCACTACCATATGTTCTGATCACCATGCGCCTAACAAAAACTAAAGTAAGAAGAATGTTAAACTGAAGCCGATTCAAAATTGCATTTATATAAATGAAGTAATGAGAAAGTAGGAGAATACACAGCCAGCACATGACCCATACACTGCTCTGTCACTACTTCGGAAACAAACCGCCTGCGGCGTCTTCACTGATCGCATGCATTCAGATTACAGAGTAACATGTGAATCAGAGAAGTCTAAAGGTCGATCGAATTCATTAAGGAAAGAGAAAATAATTTAGCGCCAGAAGTAAGTGATAGTTTTGTTTGAGCCTTACACTAACCCCATGCGATTAATCTGCCGAGATTCAAACTGAATGGCTCACCTTCTGTACAGACACTTCCTCGGCTGGCATGAGGAAGCCTAGTGGTCCGAGACGTGAGATTTCATGGAAGATGTGAAGGAGCAAGGCTTAAGACGCTGGTTTCTTCGACTGAAAAAAGGACAGACCTCACTCCTTGACTCAGATGTCCGAAAATGTAGTTCGATGAGTGATATTTTTCAATGGAATAGAAGGTTTTTTAGCGGGAAGACGTGATTTTGTTCTGTCTGGGAATGTGCCAGCTTCTATCACGTCACACGAGGAAGCGTATTCCACAATGACTGTCTACAGCACTGAAAAGGTGATGAGAACGTTATTCACCACCACGTTCGATCTACATGTATCTCTGTCGGTCACTGTCGAAGGCGCAAGCATCAGTGCACGTTTGAGCGTGATCACCGTAATATCTGTAGTACAAGATTGCTAATTCCGTGACTTCTAGTGCCTTCTTCCGGAAAGTGAGGAGGATTGGATGCAGATTTAAGGTGCACGATTGTGGCAAGGACTTCTAGTGTAGGGAATCAAAGAAGTTCGTCATCTCACTTGAACCTCAGCCATTCCATCGTCAACGATCAACCTGTTTATTCCTGCGAACTGAAGCACATGGTGCACAGGAGCCTGTCAGCTTCATTATCATGCCAGTATCTTCTCGTACACTCTCTTCAAGTCATCGTCAATAAATGCTTCCTTGAATAGCTGTGGGTGTTATATTCTTTCGCTCTTCGGGGTGATGTTGAGAGCAGTCTGTCCGCCAGGTCAGGTGGGCCAGGTCAAGGAGTTAATGCGACTAGCTCTCAGATCCAGCAGGGTTGATATCCACACATCAGCCGTGACCGGAAGCGAGTTCGAAATCATCAGAGCAGCCTAACTAACGGGTTTCCTAGAGACCATAGTTTGGTGATGTCAGCGGCCACGCCAAGACTCGATGACCTACTGGCCGAGGAGGATTGGTTGTGATTGTGAAAGCCAGTAGCTGGTGCAGCAGAAATACCTACAGAATGGCGTGGTAGCCTTAAGATCTCTCTCAGCTGTCTCTGTTAACCCTAATATTAGTGAAATTTGAAAGAGTGCTAGAATTACATGAGGTAATCTATGCAACCACGATCTTCTCAGAAATAAGTCATCGCCTTTGAGGTCAGCTAATAGCTGTTTCATCTGACTAATCATCTGTGTGCATTTACGGTCTTCATGGTGAAAGCCTTTAACCTATTTCTAGGCTGCAAGTGTAAATTTTAAACAGTCGTATGAATTCGGGGAAGGATCGTCAAGAACACCAGAAATATCCTGGATAATGCTGTTAGGTGAGATTACAGCTATTGAGTCGAATGTATTTTCTTGTGAATGGACGCTCCGCGGGACGAATGGAGCTCCTACATGAAAGAACTACTCAGATGTTCGATGTGACCAGGAGGCTGGAAGATGTAGTGTAGCTGCCGTCTTCAAAGTAGAGTCGTTTTCAACCTTAGCACCATAAGCTGTATAATAAGTGATAATAGCAATTGATATACTGCGAATAAAAACAGCCCAAATCTTGACAGAAACGCAGGGAGTAATAGTTTTCTGTGCAACAAAGGCAATACGACCAGTTGAATTAAATGAAATATGGTTAAATCAATTTGGAGACTTGACAGATAGTGATATTCATTCTCCCTTATTAAAAGAAACCAGTTATGCTAGTGATTAGAAACGCTTCATTAGTCTTACCAAACTTAACGTACCTAACTACTCAGGCAATAAGTATACTGTCGGCCTGATATGAACTCAAACCAAGACGCAGACTGAAAAGACAGTTATTCTGAAACGTGGTCTCATAAGCAGTAATTTCAGACAGAATAAAATCATTGACTTGGTGAATTCAGAATAACCAGAATAAGTAAACAGTAGCGGCAGCATTTACTGCTACATGCAGTCAAATAAATAACAATAGGGATATGGGGGATCTTTGACAGACACGCCATACATTTTCACAATGAATTGACGTTGTGGTTCTGAACTAATAAGACTACTTGCGCCTAGGGCAAACGAAGCTTTGCCTCCAGACACAACCGTTCGCACAGCCATAGGAACTTGCCGCAGCCTCGATCCAATTTCGCCTACGGATCCTTAGGATATGGAGGATGTCGACAGTTACTTAACCTATGCTGTAACCCTCAAAGCGTTTGTTCCACTCAGATCGCAAACAAGACAGAGCAACTAAGGAACTGACCGAAATACAGGGTACCTTTTTGGATCGGAAACTCAGTAACAGTTTTGGTGTAGTAAAAACATGCACCACATTTGGAGAATGATCCTATCGAAGCGACGTCACGCGTATGTAGCATCGAACCTTGCCTAATTTGCTAGATCGCTAGTTTTCTAGCTAATCTCAAGCATGTGTAAAGAGCGGGGTTGAGCGTAGAGAGCGTAGGGACCCTATAACAGAAAATCATTCAAACTGCTGCAGAAACTTGAACGCACAAGAAAGGTAATTAAAATACAAAAAATATTTACAACAAACTTAATCTTCGCTGGAATAGGAGGGGGAAATGACGCGGGCTGGTGAAA